TTTTTTTTTTTTTTCACCGCCGGTCCGCTGGATCAGAAGTTTTCATCACCACATCAGGCTCATGCTCTTGATAATCACAAGAAGACCTTGAACTTCCATTATATGTCATGAACTTGGACGCCGTGCTTGTCCTTGTACACAGACGTTTACAACACTTGATGCCTGTCAGGTTCCACTCAGGTTCTCTCTTTCTTTTTCTTTTATCACAAAAAAAAAACAAAAGGGTCCTTTCTGTTGTTTAGGACCTGCACCCGCTGTTGCGAACCGGGACCACCACCAGTGGGAAGGAAACACTGATCGTTACTCACTCTGAAGAGTCTGCAGAATCTGAACGCTTCCCCTCATTACGGCCCTCTGGGGAACCCCGACAGCATTGATTTTATTTCCAGTGGGAAGGATTCACTGCCAGTCGACCCCATAGCTTTACGGCTTTTACGACAATACCCCTCTCCCATTTCTGTTGTAAACTTGACATGCCCCTGTGAAAGAGCAAGCCCCCAAACAGGCAGAGTAGTCCGTCTCCGTCCACCCTAGTGGACTGGCAGAAATCCCAGCAACAGGTAGAAAATTAGAAATAGAATAAATCTGGGGTCGGTCTGATGAATGATAATATCTCAAGGGCGACCGACCAGTGATGATATCTCAAGGCCTTCGTCGCCCTTTTTATGGGGGGGTTGGGTGGGGGGGGGGTGGGGGTGGGGGGGGGGAGGGGGAGCTCAGCAGAAAACCCCTGGTCATAGCAGAGATATAACACGCAACTTCCTGTCACTCTTCTTAAACCACCAGTACATCGGAAAAAGCCTCAAAAAGGAGATTGAGCGTCTCTCGTGAAAAATAGGAGGCCATGAACCGTCGATTCGATTCATTTTATCGACAGTCCATGGCCTCCGGATTCGTAGGAGAGGCTCAATCTGCTTTTTTTTCGCACGTACTGGTGGTTTAAGCCTCTGGCATTGATCGCTTCCACTCAGGAAGGATTAGGATTTTTACCCCCACCACCACTGCTGTTTTTCATACCCCCCTCCTGTTTTTTTGTTCCGATAATTCTGAGTGTATACAAGCCATCTTTCCAGTCTGATGCGGTCATAATCAGGGTGCTATGTGTGGGGCCTGTGAGCCCACTTAAGTAGAGTGGCCTCCATTCTCTTCAGTGCAACGACTCGCTTTTCCAAGAGCAGAGTTGTAGGCAGGAACCACACACAAATTCCACAACTCCAATCGCCTTAAAATTCAGAACAAAGTAATAAAAAAAGTATCTTTGAAGTTTGAATGATGCCTTATGAATTAGATCATGAGAACTGGAGGAGATGGTTAACTAACTTAACTTACACTCTTAAACTTCTGAAAAAAAAAGAGTTTTGTGCTCAGAAGTTATGTTCGACGACGTAAGTAGACTATTTTTCATTTCTACGTTTCGTTCGGTTGCTGGCTGCGGTAGAAGAGGGAATGCATATGAAAAGGCGTCGAAGCTATACCGTCTTCACCCGAATCGAACGCCCGGTCATTATCGCTGCATCTGGACCGAAAGTTGTGCCAAATACAGCTATAATGACCGGGCTTTTTATTCGGGTGAAGACGGTAGGTTTGAAGTTGGAATGAAGGGGTAGATAACTGACCTGTCAACAGTCCTCAGGGACATCTGTCAAAATTGGAACGATACAGAGAAAAAGAGACGATGAACATGGCCCCTGTGCACGGACGGATGACACACATAAATTGAGAAATGGTCCAAATCAATATTAAAAAAAAAAAAAAAAAAAAAAAAAAAAAAAAAAAAAAAAAAAAAAAAAAAAAAAAAAAAAAAAAAAAAAAAAAAAAAAAAAAAACCCCGGGGCCGGGGGGGAGAAAAAAAAAAAAAAAAAAAAAGAAAAAAAAAAAAAAAAAAAAAAAAAAAAAAAAAAAAAAAAAAAAAAACACACACACACACACTGACCTGTCAACAGCTCTTCTGATAGTGCTGTGTTGATGTGTGACGACAACATAGCTGGCGATGGTGCCTAGTTTCCCACTTGCATCTCTACCTTTGATGTGAAGCGATCGGATCAGGTCCTCCACAACTGTAGATGCAATGGGATCGAGCCCTGCAGTGGGCTCATCATACATAACCACCTGTCATTATTACAAGTGCAAAGTTGAAATGTGATCAGGAGCAGTTCCCCGTTTCCAGTGTCTCAGAGCAAGCAAGTCAGACTGAGTCAGCAGACTCAGCAGAGTCGGCACCACATTTCAATTTCTTTTTTGGAAGTTTTTCCGACAGTCATCGGTGAAAAATGGAACGAAATACAGAAGAAGAATCCCGTCGCCCCTGCGCAAGGATGGGTCGCATAAATCGTGAAATGCTACAATTTTTTCAAGAAAACGAGAAAAGAAAGAAGGGGGAGGGGGGGGGACATTGCTGTCTGTGCACAAAAGGCAACCAGGGTGCAACTACCAAAAACAAGGGCAGACAAGCATCAGTGCTACCAAAAACAAGAACAAAAGAGAGAGAGAGAGAGAGAGAGAGAGAGAGAGAGAGAGAGAGAGAGAGAGAGACAGAGAGAGAGAGAGAGAGAACGGGTGCTATCAGCCCTTCTAGAAGGCATGTGCAGCAAAAGAGAGGCATCTTTACCATTAGCTCAAACAGGATTGCTGAGTGTAACTATACTTGCAGCACCAAAGGGGAGTAGTTGAAGACGGTGGGCGTCACAATCTGACATACACTGTGCAAGGAACGAGGTTCACGAAAGATTTCCTACGACCGTCTTTCCCCCAACACAAAGCACCCTGATTATGACTGCACCGGACCTCAAAGAGAGCTAGTATACACTCAGAATTCGGGAGCGTTATGATCGAGGGGCGACAGTAGCTGCTACCGTCTTCACCCGAATATTACGCCCGGTAATTATGCCCGTATCTGGACTGAAAAATGCATCAAGTACGGCTATAATGACCGGGCGTTCTATTCGGGTGAAGACGGTAGCAACAACAGAGCAAGCATTCCATTACCAATTTGGGAGCAAGATTCAACTGCACTTGAGAAGCGTGCTCAACCATTGACGTACTGAATACAAGCATATAGNAACAGAGCAAGCATTCCATTACCAATTTGGGAGCAAGATTCAACTGCACTTGAGAAGCGTGCTCAACCATTGACGTACTGAATACAAGCATATAGTCTCTCTCTCTCTCTCTCTCTCTCTCTCTCTCTCTCTCTCTCTCTCTCTCTCTCTCTCTCTCTCTCTCTCTCTCTCTTTTGCTTTCCCCCTCCCCCCCTTTCCCCAAGTCTACATATCGGTGCCACAGATCTTGCCTTGGTTCACGCCCTCAGGAACTTAACGTACTTCTCTTCTGACATCACTTCAAATTGCACACAGACACTCGTCTCCATACGAACTGAACGCCCAGCACTATATCTACACTGAAAGCTGGCCCAAATACGGCTATAATGACCGGGCATTCTATTCCGGTGAAGACTGTAGGGACCATCTCAGTAGCACTGATGTGTGGAGTAACCGGGAAGAGGACAACGGAACATGTAACTTGATACCAACCTCGTCTTCACGCTGCGAGCCGTCGGAAATAATGGCCCTCGCTAGCGCAACGCGTTTCTTCATTCCACCCGATAATTCCGCTGGTACCCTCTCTTCCACACCCTGCATTCCACAGCGCATCCATTGTGGGTCAACCCTTTGTTATAATAGACGATTCCAAAAAAAAAAAAAAAAAGACGATTCCACCAGAGGTGGGAGGCGGAAAGAAGAACAACTGCTCGCACGTGCAAACAGCGATGCATCTTTTCTCATTCCCTCAAGGTTTTTTTTTTTTTTTTTTTTCCCCATGCTAATCTTCTCTGTATCGTTCCAATTTTAACAGATGTCCCGAAGGACACCCCTCCCTCAAGTACTTCTATTATTGTCGTCTGGCAAATGTTCAGACTCTTCAGACCCAGTCTCACCACATCTTTCTTCACAGTATGGCAGTATGCCATATTCACCCACCTTAAGGCCGACAGCAGCCAAGCTTTCGGTAACCAGCTCCCGAATGCGCCAGTCTGGAAGGTCTGAGTGCTCGTACCTGTCACACCGATCAATCAATAACAAAGTTAGAGCAAACAGATACAGAACCGTTAGTCCCAAACGCATAATCAGGGTAGACTGCACCGCATTGTGCGCTCTTCCATGCACACCATTGTCTTATGCTGAGTACCATAGCAATAAATAGTCAGGGGTTGCATACCCGCTGGCCACCGCCGCCGCCGAGCGCCGCCGACCGTAGGGCGAACCGCTAGGCGGTCTGCTGACCAGTCTGTAAAGGGCCTTCTGGCGATTTTTTTTAACTCTGACTTTGGGGCTGTGCTGTGCTTGCTGAGTACAGCCCAGATCCGCTGAGACGCTTTTGGGGATGGGGGGGGGAGTACGGGGGGGTTTCTGGGTGAGTACGGCGGAATATGGAGGAGTTGGTGGGGTTATTGGAAGGAGTTATGAACTCTGCACGTGTGCATGAACATGTGAACATACTCTCCACCTCACATCATGCCTTCAATGGAGGTTGTGTCTGAGCAACTGTTTCCTTTTGCAAAGACTTCACCAAAATGTTTCAAAATGTTGGCCTGACTAATTTTCAACGAGCCTGTCTCTGGTGGGTGGGAACAAAAGAGCCAGACTGAAATAAAAATCATTTCAAAAAACGTCTGCAGCAGAACGCTGATATTCACCAACTGCAGAAAACGTCACCGTTCATCCAAGTAAAAGGTGTGATCCTTCAACGATTTTTATTTATTTATATTTTCTTTTTTTTCTTCAAAAGACGCACAGGCCCCTTCTATTCTGGGAGGCAGCAGTCCGGTTACTTATCACCGGCAAGCATGTTTGTACAAAGACAGTGAGGGAGAAAAGAAGATAGACGGAGGATCAGCCTAAACCTTGTGGGACTTGCCTGCCCGAGCAAGGGGGGATGCTTCTGTGCACGCCCCCCAAAAAAGCCTTTGCCACTCTACGGTGGATTGCCCTACTGGCCAGGAGGCTTACTAACAGCACCCAGACACACACAGTAGGGTAATCCCCCGCGGGGGGGAGGGGGGGGGGGGTTCAGGGCAGTCCCTGAGGCCGCTTGTCAATCGTCAACTGTTTTTTTCTTGCCAATCCAGTTCTTACCTACCTTCTTCCCCCGAATACAACGTACGATCATTATAGCTGTATTTGAGGCATCTTTCAGTCTAGATATACAGCTATAATGACCGTACGTTGTCTCCGGGGGAAGGAGGTACTATCTGCCTACTGCAATCCTAGGTGTGCCTGCCTCTTACATACAGCCTACCCTGTTCCTGTGTAGGCCTTTCTCAACCTTTGGCAGCCCCATCTATCTGCCTGTACCCTTTGCCTAAGTAATATTCCGAACCCCTGTTATTGTCCTACTGGCAAGCATTCTTGTTTCTTTTTTTTTTTTTAAACAGGGCCTTATGGACCTGGCTCCGTCTATTCTGGGGAGCGACAGTCCGGTTCCTTTTTTTTTTTCTTTTTTTCTTTTTTTTTTTCTTTTTTTCTTTTTTTTGCGACAGTCCGGTTCCTATTCCACCGGCAAGTCAGAATACACATTACATTATTGCAGGAATGCACGCTTCCTTCCGTTTGGCCGAAGGACCCCTGAACAGCATTGATTGCTCCACAATTGGCGGAGGATTGACTGTCAGCTTGCCTGGACTCACTCTTTCCTCTCAGACCTGAAAACCCGTTCTGCCAAAAAAAATTCTATGTCACCTAGAAAGAGCTCGCCCATTTTTTCTGCATACCTGTGCATTCTCCACTCATCTATCCTGCCCGTGAGTCGTGTTTTCCCCTATCGCCTTAAGCCTGCACTTTGCTGCTAAAAACCCTAGACCCTAAACCCTCAACCTGAAGACCTTATTGCCCCTTCCGGGCAAGCATTCTTGTGTCTAATTTTAATGGGCCCAGCGTTTTCCTGTTTCCGTTCATCCATGGCCCCCATCCTCTATTCCTATCTCCAACGGCTTCCTGTGTTTTTTAGGTCTCAAGTTTCAACAACAAGATCCCCTCGAAAAGGGTTCTTCCCTTTCCCTCCCCCCGCCCCCCACCTATGATATCTCTCCCCTACGCTTCATGCCCACCTACCTATTGTACATCTACCTTTCTCAAACTTACTCTCCTTCCCGTTCTACCCATCCCACAAGCCTACCGTCTTCACCCGAATAGAACGCCCGGTCATTATAGCTGTACTTGGTGCAACTTTCAGTCTAGATACAGTGATAATGACCGGGCGTTCTATTCGGGGTGAAGACGGTAGCTATGTTACAAACGATGATCTGTCCCTCTCTTGCTACTCATCCTCTACTTCTCCTCTAGCTCAGCCCCTGGTATTTGACGCATCAAGGCTGGGCCCAGCTGCATTTGGCCTGCCTGGGAGTGCCAGGTGAGAGGTGCGGGTACGGTTCCCATCATGCCCAAGACCCTCTCTCCTTCTGTTCTCCTATACGCGCACATCGATGTAAGTCTGCCGAGAGGGGGATTCTGATGTTCTCCAGCACCCTTTCTTGATATGCCCGCAGCGGCGGCGCAGCTCCCTGTCTGCATCGCTCATTCCTCAAAGTCCACAGAGCCCACAGCACCGCCGACCGGATAATCTCTGAAGCCATCAGGTCCTCCGGCTGTGATCTGTCCACCTTCATCAGAGCACCAAGGAGGATAGCTGCGTCATCCGCCTCCATGACTCCCAGGGGGGGGGTTATCCGCCATCTCCCGCGCCCACCATTGCCAGAAGGCCCGGACTACCAGGCGTCTCACAAAAAGATGAGAGACAGTCTCCACTTGCCCACATCCCGCAGCACATGACTGATCCTTATGCTGGCTTCTTGTTGCTAGCCATTGTGCTGTTGGGATTGCCAAGTGGTACAGCTGCCACAACAGCCCCGTGTGCTTCTGCTATGGTATGGCAGCCAAGATGGCGTTTTGCTCATTCCACCTGCGGTGAGTCCATCTGCTGACGTAGGCATCTGGGATACAGTCCCTTTTAGCCCATCGGTTTTTCAATTTTCCACATATATCCACAGGGTCCACTAAAGAATTGTAGATGTTCTTCGTGGCGAGGCACTGGAGCTGCACCGCCTTTCTCTGCATCCTTTGAGCCGACCAGTCCCATTTCCCCGGGTCCCACACCAGGTCCCGTCTTCGAACCGCAATTCGGAATAGCAGGTATTGTCCTTTCCCCTGCGGACCCCGTTCACACACCGCCACTGTTTGCATCATGCTCCTGTCCACCATTTTCCGGGGGTTCCACTCTTGCGCACCACATTCCTGCAGGGGTTCCCCCAGTCCTTCATACCCCAAGCTCACCTGCCATCCCGTCACTTCCAGCTTGCCGTCTGCCAACACTTGCTCGACCTTGTAGACTCTCTCCGGTCTCAGGCTTCCTTTCACATTCACCCATTCCCCCGGCGTTATTTCATCCCTTCTTTTTTTTTTTTTTTTTTTTTTCCCTTTCTTCTTAACATCTCAGTCCACATGGGGGGGATAGCTTCCCGCAGTTCTCTGAGTCTTCGCCGTCTTCTCATCCGTCTCTGCAGTGATTCCAGCAAGACGTCATAAGGCCGCCAGTCCTTCCAATCTTCATCCCATAGATGTCCCACTTTATAAATGCGCTGTTCTCAGTGTTCTGCCCATTTCCACCCATATGCTCCTCACGGGCCACGCCACGGGAAGGATTCACCAGTCTCATCACAAATGAATCTGTTATAGAACAGCAGCTGGTTGTAAACTGCATCCGCTGTTTCCGGTATAGACGGCAGCTTAACTGTGCCCTTTTCCACAGCGCCAGCTTTGTGGACCATACCGTGTCCCTGCGAATGTGGCCTATTGTTGTGCGACAAAGGAGCCAGAGGTCCGCCAGCTCCCTAGGTACCTGGAGTGCGTATGCCAGGTGGGTCCTGGTGACTTCTTGCCAGGCACCCCCCACTGTGCCCAGCAGGTGCCATACCAACTGGCGCCACTGCAGGGCAATTATCTGCAGCCGCCGGTCCAGCCGTCGCAGGCCTCCAGAGCGCCTTGGCTGGATGCGCTTGTTCCAGGCCACTCTGCATATGGAGTCCTCCGCCTGCGCATTGTTTGACCATAAGCGCGCATGGATCGCCTTTCTGATGTATCTGAAGGTGCGCTTGCCTGGCATATGCACAGCGCCTGCATACCACGAGGTTGCAAGCACCGAATTCTTGATGACCAGGGCCTTCCCAAAGACACCCATGCCACCTCTCACACTCCATGCTTTCAGTCGTGCCACCGCCGCTGTGGCTCGGACCGCAATCTGTTCGACGCCCGCCGTAGCTCGCCGTCAGATTCGCTCCCAAGAAGGCAATCCGTTCACCTTCTGTCACCCTGGGGATGTCCCATCCCTCCGGCGCGTCGACCTCTGGCAGGAGGATGGCTTTTGACTTCTGATGGTTGACCTGCGCACCAGAGTACTTGCAAAATATTTGGAGGTTGTCCTTTAGAATGGCCAGCTGCTGGACCGTCGGGGGGATCACTGCACCCGAGTCATCCGCTAATGCCGTGGATTGCAGCTCCATTGCCGGTCCCACCTTCAAGGCAGTCAGCCTATCATCTGCCCTCAGGATGCCGTGTATGGACTCGATGTAAATGACACAAAGGGCCGGGGAGAGCGGGCAACCTTGCCTAACTGATCGAGTGACTTTGAGCTTGTCCGATTGGATGCTGTTGACTTGCATCACTGTTGACTCGCATCACCGTCAACAGGCTTCTGACCCAACTGCAGAATATCCCCCCTATCCCCCTGTATGCCATTCCCTGTAGCAGGAGCTCCCATCGGACTCGGTCGTACGCTTCTTCGAGATCTATGGAGACAAAAGCCGCAGCAGTGCCTGTGCATTGGTTCTCTTCCAAGACCTGCTGCGCCAGGATTACATTGGACAGAACCTGGCAGCCCAATACGAAAGCCCGTCCAGGTGCAGTCTATGATGCGCAGCAGCACCTCTCTCAGACGAGTTGCCACCACTTCGCCCAAGATCTTGTATAGGGAATTAAGGATAGATATCAGCCTCCAGTTTCACATTTCCTCCTTCGCCCCCTTCTTATGAAGCAGGACCACGTATGCTTCCGCAAAACCCTGCCGGAAGGATCCATGTTTAAGCGCCTCGTTATACGCAACCGTCAGGCAGGGTCGGGAAGAAGTTGCGGAAGTCCTTGTTTAGTTCCACCGGCATCCCGCCCAGGCCCCGTGCCTTGAGACGGGCGAGGTCCGCAATAGCTCCCTGCACCTCCTCCTTCTTCACGTCTTCTTCTAGTGCACAGGTGCTTGCCAGGTCCAGCCGATTGCAGATATGCCTCCACACTGCTCGTTCCAGCTCCTTTGCCATATCCTGTGGAGTCCATTCCTCCTCTTCAGTTAACAGCTGGCGGTAGAAGTCTGTGACCCATTTCAGGATCCCCTTTGTACTGCGCTGCGTTACCTGATTATCGTCAAAGGGGGAGTTCATTGCTGTCAGCAGCGGTGCTGCCTTGCTAGTACGCACTGTGGCAAAGCACTTCCATGTCATTCGCTCCCCCACTGCAATCCAGGCCTCCTTAGTTTGCCTCCCCCACTTCACCACTTCCTCCCGCTGCCATTCCCTCCATCCTCGCGCCGCCTCCACCCGCTCGGCCCACCATTCGTCTTCTGTTTGCTCTCCTGCTGGACCACTGTCCAACAATTTCTTCATTCTTCGGGCATACTCCTCCCCCGTTCGTTGTTGCGCCAGGTAGCTGCAGCGCAGCCGTTTGACCAGCCGCTCTCGCAGATCCTGGACTGCCGTTGCGACGTGGGCCAGCAAGTGTTCCTGTGGGCAGTCGTTTATCCATTCATGATTCCTCCCAAAACCGGGCCACCTCGGGCCGGAACTCCGTGCTTTTAAAGACCCATGCCAGGATCGCCTTCGGCGGGTGGTCTGTCACCAGCTGTCCCACGGACTCCCACCGGATAACTTGCTATCGGCGCTGAGTGGTCCGACGTCGCCATCAGAGATATATGGGCCTCTCTATCGCCTCATTAAGCCCGACCGACGCCCATATCATATCAATTCTAGACCTCCTTGTCACAGCGTTTCCCAAGAAGGTAAATTCCCTATCTTGTGGATGCAGCGCTTGGTAGGAGTCTGAAAAGCCCAGCCCCATCATTCCATTAAGAAGCGCCAGGGAGTCAGCTTCGACATGCCTTGCTCTGGTGGAGTCCAACAGCAGGTCCGCGACCGAGTTAAAATCCCCTGCTATGATGATCTTATTCAGGTCTGCAATGAGGGTCTGCAGCTGCTCCCACATCCTACGTCGCAGCCCAATCTCCGTGGGGCCATACACTGTGACCAGTCCCCACAGTTCATCCCCCCATTGCAGGACCACCCACGCCCATCGGGCCCCTTGAGTCGAAGGACCAGTCTCGAACTTCCCCTCTGAAATGGGGGGAGGCCAAGATGCAGACCCCCTTTTTTTGTTCCTTGCGCCGCGGCCCATACTTGGTGGCCCTTCCACCACAACGCCGGCTCTGCAATCTTATTTCCATCCAGCTTGGTCTCTCTCAAGCAGACAACAGTCCACAGGTGTACCAACTGAGCTAGGCCAGTTGGTGCTGCTCTCAGTCAGTCTTAACTGTTAGATTAGCATGTTCACAGCTCCCCGGTACATAGTACTTTGCCCTCTTTGGGTGAATTTCATCATGGGAGAGGGCATGGTCTGCTTAGTCTGCTTGGATTTCCATCGTAGGATTCGTAGGAGATAAAACAGTCTGATTGGATATTCATCATCATGGGAAAGAGCAGCGGTTCATGGCGGGCTGGCCACCTTGGGCTATCAGTTGTGCGGCAGTGGTAGGTGCCCACCCACCTGCAATTAGCTTATGAGTACAATCATCATGCCTCAAAAGTGTCATAAGGAGACCTTGCAAATCGCCGAGAATTTTGCCTGCCGATGATTCTAAGAATCGTACAAGCTACCCAGCCCAATGGTACCCACAGGCAACTGTTTGTAAACAGAGTATGAATTTGAATTCTGACGGAACCAGATGAACAATGAAGCTACCGTCTTCTTCACCGGAATAGAACGCCCGGTCATTATAGCTGTATTTGGCACAACTTTCAGCCCAGACACGGCGATAATTACCCGGCGTTCTATTCGGGTGAAGACGTTAGGGGCTATCCCCTTCGCGGAAGGAAAAGTAAAAAAAGCAGAACCCTACTATGAGTTCTGAATCGTACAAGTTTGAGAAGCCAGAGAGGCTCAAAAGAAAAAAAAATGAATGTTCGGTGATGAAGAAGAGAAAGTTCCTAGAGCGTTCATGCTAACCTTACCAAATGTCTCACAAGCCATCGATTCGCTTAACCACTTACCAGCTTAAGTGAACTTGGACTAATTGATTAACATTGTTCATCGCACAAAGCTGGCGCTGTGGAAGAGACAGTTTGGCCAGCTTCCGACAAGTTGGTGAGAGTTCGATGAAACACTCTGTCATAGCTCGCCTTCTTTGGCTTTGGTGCAATCTGCGGCAGCACCAGCTTAACTGACCTTGGACTAATTGATTAGGATTGTTCAGCGCACAAGTCAGTATTAAGCCTCAGCAGCTACACACTAATAAAAGGCCGTAAACCCAATCAAACATGCTCATTAATACCTGTGGTATATCCAATCAAAATTAAGATCCTTCTCTCTTGCTAGAGATAACTACCAGAGATTAAATGGTGGTTGTTTCGTATGAGTTTTGCAAACATACGTATACTCACAACATGAAGCCAACATTCTCCCGCACCGTTAACGAGTCAAAGAGTGCCGCACTCTGGAAAACCTGGAGAAGAGAAGGGGGGGGGGGGGGGGGGGGGGGCGGAGAACAAGCATTCATGAAAACCCAGCAATGATACAACAGTCCATTAGAATTAGGAGCCTTATAAGAGTTTCAAAAAAAAAAAAAAAAGTGTGGACAGTTCAGCTGGATGCGAGAATGGTAACTGTCGCTATTTTTGTATTGTCCTCTTGAGTGTATATCTTGTTGTTGCCCCCAAAATGGAGATGGAGAAGAACTTTGGTCCTGTTGAGACCTTCTGGAGATCTGCAAGAGGGGGGAAGGGTGAGAGCTTCCGTTCTTTTGGCATTTTTTATCTGTGACGTCAAGAAGATCGCAGGTTCTGGCGTTTCGAAGACGTAACGGAAACTCTGATTGAAACTGTATATAATAAAGTTTAAAGGAAACCACAAGACGTTGACGAGGGGAAGAAAAGTGGTAAGAATCGAGTTAGTTAAATCAATGCATCTATTTTCGTGACTTCTCTCTTCCATGATGCAAGATGCAACTTCACCACCGCCCATGGATGTACAATCGCTTTGTAGATGAGAATACAAATCATGGAAGAGGGAAGTCACAAAAATAGATGAGAAATTGAGAATACAAATCATGCTGCATGTGCAATAAGGCAGTTGCAAATATTTCCTGTGGCCCCTGCGCAAGGATGGGTCGCATAAATCGAGAAATCATGCTGCATGTGCAAGGCCGTTGCAAATTGACCAGTTCAACTACAAAGCACAAGAACCTTGTCTTGCTGCTGAAGAAGAAGAAGAAGAAGAAGAAGAAGAAGAAGAAGAAGAAGAAGAAGGAAGAAGAAGAAGAAGAAGAAGAAGAAGAAGAAGAAGAAGAAGAAGAAGAAGAAGAAGAAGAAGAGGAGGAGGAGGAGGAGGAGGAGGAACGGGGAAGCATTCGAGCATAGTTGTTATCTCGGTATGGAGCCCACTAATGCGGAGAAGAGAGTCAACTGCAAAATGAAGTCGAAACTTCAGGAAAGGTTACAGAAAACAGATATCAAAGCGGCCGACATTATCGATCGATCATATTTCTGGACTCCTGTCACAAAAAAACAGTCTATTCTTTTGTTTTTACCATGCCAATCCGAAGCTCCGGATTATCTTCGTCACTGATGAGCCCTGTCCTCTTCTTGCCGCAAATGTATACCTCCCCCTGCAAAGCCCAAGAAAACGGCGGCAAGACCAAACGTCACTGATATCACACACTCAAAAGCGCCTGTAGCAAAAGTGCCAAGGAATGAAACAACACTCACAACACCCATTAGGGAAGTAACATAGACACACTCACACAAGAGGCAAGAACGCCATGAGGGAGGGAGGGAGGGAGGACGTGTGTGTGTGTGTGTGTGTGTGTTGTCATGTTATCGCTACACACAACTCCACAAAAAAAAGCACAACCGTGCCAGACTGTTGCATCAGGCTTTCACCAACTCGTCAGGAGGATGAACCTGGACAGACAGTCTGCCCAGGATGCATTTTACTGATAGATAAGGACTCACCACGTCGCCCAAAGTTAGCGATACCCCTGATTAGGAAAACGTGGTCGACTTTACTCGCACCAACCCTGCAATCCTGGCAGACTGTCGGTCGGTTCAAACTCCTGACAAGAATGGCTGGTAGTCTTGAGTAAGTAGTTATGCGACTGTATGTCAGCGCCATAAACCCACCACTCTACGCACCCACTCATGCGTGTGTCGCCAGGAACAAGACCGCAAAAGGCAGCCAGATACAGGAACACACCCAGGTTGAGCTCCACTTTCGAAGCCCACGAGACGGGACGTGCAAGGGAGAGCGCAAGGAAGCACAGCAGATCATCTGCACCAGGTGAACTCTTGCAATCAACAAAGAAAATATTAGACATCTCTTAACTGAGACATACACAAGCTAGAGTTAGCCATTTTTCATTTTCTTAGTTATGCTGGAGGACAACACGATACCACATTACCGTCTTCCCCCGAAGAGAACGCGCCCTCATCCTGAATGCACACCAGTAATCTTTCCAGCCCAATACAGTCATGACGAGGGTGCATTGTGTTCGGGGGAAGGTGGCAGAAACCAGCGCTGGATACCCAGCCCATACGGGCGAATGACGCACACATTCGACAGGCGATGAACAGATCACGAGTTCAAATCCTTATGGAATTGCATAGATACAATAATGTTCGGGGCTAAACTCCTTCACCCCCCTGGGACGATCTGAGTTCCGTGGTGCACCAATCTCTGCACAGCCTTACAGGCAGATTAATTGGGGTTCATCATTCGTGTACGATGCTTCTAGAATTGTTGGAAAAAAAAACAACCTTTTCGAAAAAATTCTACACGCTTTGCGTATCTTTTGGACTTATGTAGACTTTTGTAGACTTTTGCAGGATACATGTGCAATTTGCTTTTCCTAGTTGAAATCTCGGTTGAGCATAGTCGCCATTCTTGCAATGTAGGAGACTGCACGGCTTATTAGCGAGTGTGCCATGGCAGTGAGGATTTTAGTTCGCGCCTTAGCAGGCATGTGCAATTTTTTTTTTTTTTGAAAGGTGGCATGCACACGCGCAGGTGGAAATAGCGGCTCTGCGCTTCTTCTGGCAATTTGCCTTCCATCCCCGTTCTATGTCTCGCTTCTTGCACAATTGCTTTCCTGGTGTGCACATGATTTCTTGCATTGCTCCATCTGCAAACTCCATGCGTCAACCATCTTCCCACTGCTGCTGGCACCGTGTTTTCCGCACCCTCTTCTCAAATCTTCCCATGCACTTGTCTTCCTTCTCCCCTCTCTCCTTCTCCATTCCCTCCGTTCTTGCTCTGCCCACGCTTCCCGCCCTTCACGCTCGTTGTGGCCTCTCGTCCCCGATTGGCCGATGTCACTGCATGACAGATCGTCGCATGGAGACTGGTGGCCACGTCCCCCATGCCGCGATCTGGCCATGCAGTGCAGTGGCCCTTCCTTCCTTCCTTCCTCGTCCTCCTGTCTCTCTCCGTTCCCCTGCTTTTCTGGCTGAGCTATAAATCGTACAAGCACGAGTCTCTCTCTCTTTTGGCGCACACATTAGCACGGTCACTGCATTGGCTAGCTGACAGAGTGGACTGCTGGTTGCTGGGTGGAAAAGTCCCAGTGTGCTCACGCCGATCAAGCCGGGTTCCCGAGTTCACTGCGACGAACTCGCAGAGACTCGGGCGAACCTGACCAACTGATCGGGTCAAGCCGGGTGACGATCACAGGCTGAAGGAGAGCGCACATACAATGAATGGACTGTCGGTGCGTCGTTTGGTGTTCGTGTTTACTCGGGTCAATGGTATGAGAGAGTGGGGTGATCCACTTCCCCTTCTGGTTCTGAAGAAACACTGTTTCGAGCTTTTCGTAATGACAGCTTTGGTGTGTTTGGGGTATGGAGTGCCACGTGTTGTGATCGGGTGTGTATCATCTCTTCTTGTCTGGATCCAGAGTGATTGCTTGCCCATGGGATGCAGTATGCATTTGTGAAACGAAACATCATGTGCACATGCCAATTTCTTTGTAGTGATGTGAGGTGTGGATAAATGATTTAGTTTGCGCAACAGCTTCTATCTTTTGATATCTTGCCTTCTCCAAACACACCCCTGGAATCGAATTGTGCCCCACTACCCTTCCCGTATCACAAGCAAAAGCCCCGAGTGTGCGAATGGGGCATTCAGGAATCCGCGGCTCAAATCTGTAAGCCATACCCCCTCTCCGAAGGAAGCTTATTCCTTAGGATAAGCTGGGTCGGGATTCAGAGGAGTCTACCAAGCATCGCAGCATAGGCAGGCGAAGCCGCAGCCTGCATTGCGTCTGGTATTGTGGAGACTGCTATTCGAAGCGGCGGCCTTATTCTATCTGTTTTGCCGTAAAACAAGCTGACTGGTAATCTCCCCTTGCCCCCGTTCTCGTTGCAGATGCAATGTTCTGAACATAGACGTTAAAGCACCAGTACATGGGCACCTGGGCCACGGGTCTGACACGTCAAATTCTGGAGGCGCGAAACGACAACGCGGCCGCTGATCGAATTTATCAACGGCGGGCCCAGCGTTTGACGTTTCGGCCTCATTTTCTTGTGGCGACAAGTTTCGGACTGCAAGGCTGGGGTCGAGTACTTGTGGTTTAATACCACGGGAGAGGCTTTGCTTATGTGGCTTGCAGCAACAAAGGGGAGGGAAGGCTTGCAGCAGCGAAGGGGAGGGACCAGGTCCGGCGCTCCCAGTCGAGAGCGTCTACCTCAAAACTCCGGGCTCTGCAAAGTGCACAAGCACAGCCTCGCAGAACTTCACAAATGCCACGTACACACGCCCCGAAGCTTTCCACAGAGGAAGATGGAAGGTGACCACGCCGGGAGCCTAGCTTAAATCAAAATAAAAAATAGGAACATTAAGTCATATTTTATTATTTTTACTAATTAGTCCCTTCCCTCTCCTTCGGCTGTTTTGCAAAATTTGCCCTTCCCCACCCCCTTGCTTCTCCGTAATCAATTCCCTCGCCAGGCGGAACTCAAGACACGGACATTCCGGATCCGACCTGTTTAACTCCCATCTCCATTTCCCAAAACTCCTTGGCACACGCCGTCGGCGATGCTTTCTGGCGTACCACTCACTCCGCGGTCGGAAAGCAGTGTTGAGCTCGAGTTTGTCGAGCTCAAGTTCGTCCATCGCACCCCTCCCAACCCCCCGCCTTACCCAAAAAAGAAAACCGAGACAAAAGAAAGAAGTCAGGGCAGGAGATAGGTCCAAAGTGATAAAAAAAAGAAGTCCATGCCTGCTCTGAACCAATGGTGTGAAGAAAACCTAATACCTATGTTGCCATCCTTCACAAGAGAATTGCATGATAATCATAAGATCATGCACATTTCTTAGCTCTAACAAAACACGGCCAAAGGTGTCCCCTCTAATCGTAATTTCGATTCGAGTGTGCATCCAGCTATATCAGGAAAACATTCATTTACATTACTTGGATGGATCAATTGATTTCTAAGATTTCTTAGCACTCGATACTTCGTTCTTCCGCCCCTTGGCGCTCAATACCTTCCCCTCCCCCACCCAGCACTCTGTACTTGAAAAGTTGGTACTTCTCTTGTCTCAAACCATGCTTCCCGGTGATCAGCAACCCCCTGGACTGACGCCCCCCAAATAGAAGGGGCAGTGTGGGTTCTGGAAAAAAAAAAAAAACAGAACATGCAGGAAAGGAGGCAAAAAAGGAAAAAGAAGAAGAAGAAGAAGATGACGATGAAAGAACCAAGGGGACAAACGGGGCTAGCTCAGTCGGTACACCCACGAACTGTCAAAATACAGACCCAAGTTCGAATCCAGACACAATCAAAGATGATCAGAATAATATCATTTCTGAATTACCTGGGGCCGGTCAGTTCAATGATGATATCTCAAGGCCATTGCCCTTAAGAAGAAAAAGAAGAAAGAAAGAAAGAACAAGAAGAGGGCAGCATACATGTGACAAACCTCTGGCGGAGAAGACAAAGGAGGGGAAAGGCATGGTGCTTGCTAGGCACAGGGAACAACAGCAGAAGGGGACACACAAGGAACAGAGGAAAACAACATAGAGGATGAAGTGAAGACACTAGATTTTAGGGAGGGGGCGAGAACGACGCTGTTTTTCGGAGCAATCTGCAAAAATACTGGAACAGTACAGAGAAGATTGGCATGGCCCCTGCACGAGGAGGACACACACGGATTGAGAAATGGTCTTAAAATTCTTAAATTATTTAAAATTTTTGAAATTAAAAAAAAAAAGGGAAAAACGAATTCAATTCGAACTACTCAATGCATGCATCACCCTCATTCACTCACCTTGTCTGGAGCAAGCAGGCCAGCCATGATCCGCAAAATTGTAGACTTCCCGGTCCCCGATGGGCCAATTATTCCGACAGCCTCCCCATGCCTGACCTGCAGTAGCCCAAAAAGGAAAACCATTCCGGTTAAGCCACCAGTACCTCACCCAGTTAACGCGCCGCGCCAAACGTGGGTCCGGACTGTGTGAAAGCCCGGTCGCCCCTAAAAGCCCAGGCTCTGTGCACTGTACAACAAAACAGAAAAAAAAAAGAAAAAAAGAGAGCGTTTCATAAAGAAAGAAAGAAAAACAGTTCTTTTCCCTCCATTCGTGCAGGGGGAGAGAGAGAGAGAATGAATCTTCCCCCCTTCCCGCTGAAGCTTCATTCTCATTTTCTTGATTTTGACAGACGCGCACAGATATATATATATAGAGAGAGAGAGAGCCGGCGAGCTTTGAGCAGCAAACTATCCGTGACCATCTCTCTCTCTCTCTCTCTCTCTCTCTCTCTCTCTCTCTCTCTCTCTCTCTNTCTTCTTCCTTATAACTCCCCCTGTTCAGAACCTGTCTCTTATACACATCTAGATGTGTATAAGAGACAGGTGCACGTCCGTCGAAATCAAGAAAATGGGAATGAATATTCAGCGGGAAGAGAGGAAAGATTCGTTCTCTCTCTCTCTCTCTCTCTCTCTCTCTCTCTCTCTCTCTCTCTCTCTCTCTCTCTCTCTCTCTCTCTCTCTCTCTCCCCGCACGAATTCAGAAACCAGAACAAAGAAATTGAAATTCCTTTCCTTTTTTCATATAGAATAAGTAACCCGTTTTATGTCTTTGTTTTCCTTTTTTCCTTCGTTTTTTTTTTTCTTTTTTCTTTTTCTTTAGTTTTTCAGTTTTTTTGTTCTTTTAGAAACGAGGATTCTCCTACTACCGGTAGCTGTAGGGTCGGCAAGACTCAGCATACCGGTAGCTCCAGGCTCGGACTTTATAGCTGTGTGAGGTACTGGTGGTTTAAACGAACCCCTAGCTCAAAAAGGACTTGGGACTGGGAACCGGACTTTTGCTGCTGACTGGAGCAACTGAGAAACAAACTTCGACTGACTTTTTCCTAAGCCTACCGGTACGAACCGGAATCTACCTACCTCGGCCTATTGTCCTACTGGTACTGGCCCTGACTTGGGGCATGGGAATATGATACACGGGACCACGACCGGCACTGGAACTGGGACTTGAGAGTGGGACAGGACTTGGGACCTGGGCAGATAGTGGTGAAATATTTTCCTAGTCATCATTTTCAAGAAAATCCTGCCTGTGCTTTCTCAGCAGAACGGGAACCATAGCATGTGGGTGGGACTTGGGACTGCAACTGGGACTTGGGACTGAAACTGGGACTTGGGACTGAAACTGGGATTTGGGACTGGAACTGGGATTTGGGACTGGAACTGGGACTTGGGACTGGAACTGGGACAGGATTTGGGCGGATAGAGGTCAAATTCTTTCCTAGTCATCATTTTCAAGCAGGTCCTGTCTGTGCTTTCTCAGGGTGCGCAGGCAGGCGGGTAGAGAGAGAAGGGATATGGAGAACTCATGAAACATACAAAGTTATAACTTACAAAACAGAAACGATCATCACGAGAGCTGTGCAGGAGAGTAGATCTTTGAAATATAAAATGATTATTATTATATTAATTTTTTGCAATTATGAGGGGGGGAACTGTACCTTGAAGCTGGCTCCCTTGAGCACATGCTTGTCGCCAAATGCCTTGTAAACGTCGCGACATTCGATGAGAACCTTGCCCTTCTCAGCTCTGAATGGTTCCAGGTTGCCATTCAGTCTAAACAAGCTCTCCGCCATCTGCTGCCATAGATTTGTTATATAGGGGAGAAAAAGAGAGACAGAGAGAGGGAGAGGGTGAGAGAGAGAGAGAGGAAGAGAGGGAGGAAGAGAGGGAGGAAGAGAGGGAGGAAGAGAGGGAGGAAGAGAGGGAGGAAGAGAGGGAGGAAGAGAGAGAGAGAGAGGAACAGAGGGAGGAAGGGAGAGAGAGAGAGAGAGGAAGAGAGGGAGGAAGAGACAGAGACAGAGAGACAGAGAGAATAAGCAGAAGATGTCATCAGATCTGTACAGGGCAAGGAGATCAAGCCAAGAAACAAACATACAGGAAGATGTACTTCAAGCAACCAAAGGCAATAAATATATATATAAATTTATAAATATATATAATATTCATAATATATATATATCAATATATTGCCACAGAACTATATATATCGTCACAGAGTTATCAGAACTCAAAAGCAAAAAAAACAAAGGGAACAAAAAAGATATCAATTCATTTTTTATCTTCTTACTTACAACTCCCCCTGTTCAGAACCTCTTGCGTACAAAGCCACCCACGTGGATGTGGTTGAGCGGCGGCTGGCCCCACCCCCGTGTGTCATATCGACCCCCTTGCACACAGCCAAAGGGCAAAGAGGCAAAGAAAAGAGGAATATATATATCATCACATAAATATCAGTGCACAAATGCAAAAAAAAGAAAAACAGGAAAAAATGAATTCAGTTTTTTTATCTTCTTCCTTATAACTCCCCCTGTTCAGAACCTCTTGCGTACAAGGCCGCCCACGTGGATGT